GGCGCTCCCCCCCCCCAGAAAAAAAGAGAGTGATGGAAGATACCAAGACCTCTAAACATTTAATCGAACAACTGCTAACATGGCAGATGTGTTGGCTGAGCTGGGTAAGTTTATAGAGGGTTTAACTACAAGTGTAGCTGCTTCTGCATCGGATACGTCGACCTGCTTTTCCGATCCCAGAGCCAGAGTGTCAAAGATGGAGTAAGATCTCTAGCTTTTAGAGCCAGAATATTAAATATTTAGTAAAATGAATTTCAGCTCTGGCAGAGAAACAATTTTATATGAAAGGGTATTCAAATATTCCTTCATTGAGCAACCACAATAAGCCTTGAAGATTTACATGATTGAGCTGGAATTCAAAGCCAAAGACAAGAGGGAAGCACTTTTCTTACTTTTTTTTTTTTTTTTTTCTGGAAAGCACAAAGAGAAATCCATAATTAAGCATCACGCTTCCCCAGGGCAGCATGTTTTCTTACACTGACAAGCAAAATGAGGCATTTCAAACCAGGCATCACTGTGCACTGCCATCTCTGCGTAGCTATTGTTTTAATGTGTTTCTGGCTATTAGGCATTTGTCTATTTTTGGTCGGCAAGGCATGCATTTTATTTAAAGAATTCTGGTTTTGCACAAAAGGCTGTAGTTATGTTAGTGGAACTATGTTTCTACAACAGTATCTAAAGAATAACAATGGCCTTATTTGGGATGCTCTCATATGCGTTTGATATTCAAGAGAGTAAGCTGGAACTTTAGTGGAATTAATACAATTAAAATTAACTCTAAGTAGGAAAAAAAGTGTGAATGTCTATTTAAACTGAGCTATATGCTTTTCTTTGCCTTATTTGTCACAGCTAATTAAAGATATCACAGGCAAATCCTATGATATGCTGGAAATGCTAAGCAAACCATGCTTAACATTCCATCAAAACAGTCAGAGACTAACAACAAATTATGTATTCAGCAACTCTTTTGTTCTCCATTGAGGAATGAATACCATATCACCTTCGCACCTTCCTGCCATAACCACTAAACTATTCCAAAACTCTTAAATTTCATATTCCATAAACTTCTGCTCGCTATTACATTTGTATGTGATCATTTAACCACTAGATAAGTGTTTCCACTAGATAAGTGGAAACAGTCATTAAAATCACCCAGGTGATTTTATGACTACCCCTACCCCAGTTTCTGATTCGCCCCATCTGGACTCTGTGTGTGTGTGTGTGTGTGTGTGTGTGTGTGTGTGTGTGTGTATGTGTGACATCGATATGTATCAGAAGGTCCAGCAGTGTCTCTCTCCAGCTTGGTGACTCACATTGTACTTCCCATGCTTGGGAGGCTCAGACAGGAGCATTGCCAGGAGTCAGCACCAACCTGGGTGACTGTTATGTTATACCGTCGACTGGATGGAACCCAGCATCACCTAGGAGATACGCTTCTAGGAATGCTGTGAGTTACTATCTTGATTAAGTAAACTGAGGTAGAAGAGCCACCCTAAGAGGGACGACATCATTCCCTGGGGTTGGGTCTTAGGCTGCATTAAGGTGCCGACTACTGATGTAAGGTCCGGGCACCTTAAGCTCCTGCCACAGGACTCCCTCTATGATGGACCAAACCCTCCAATCATAACGAAACAAGCCCTTTCTCCCTTGAGTTGCATTTGTCAGGGTGTTTTATCACAGCAACAGGAAAAGTAACTAAGAAAGCTAATTGGACTGCAAAAACATTTTTAATTAATTAGAAAAAAAAAACAAAACAAGAATCATCTAAGGAACTTTAAAAGTTACCAAATCACAACTCCAGGGTGTTTGAAACTGACTGTACTAGAGTAGAACCTGGAATATACTTAAAATAAATATTATTCTAAAATTCACAGTGAATTGGATGTCTTAAGTTGTTGTTGTTTTTTTTTTCTGGTGGTTTAAAATGATAGGATTTATTTTCTTTTTTTTTATGTCTTAAGTTTTTATCAGTTAAATTTGGCAGCCACACTTATGAGTTCTACTATAGTAAAATGGTAATATTTATGTTCAAAGTATAGATATGACTGTAACTAGCCCCTTCATCTCTGCAAAGCACAAAAAGGGTGGGGCAAAATAAGTGGACTCTGTATTCCTAAGTCCTAAGAAGAAGTCCTAAGAACATTTCCTCCCAAGTTTAGCCTTAGAAGTAGCCTTAAAGGTAGGTATCAGAGGTCACTGGCCTTCATGGTACTGGCAACAGAAGCCAATCAGGTCACCTGGCCTTTGCAGTGCGGGCAGTGGGCACCACTATGATGAACAAATACATGATGGAGGGATGGGGAAAAAGAAAAATGGCATGTAGGGCTGGTGGAGCAGTGTGCTGTGGTCTGGAGCTTATGTAGACACAGACTCAGCCTCTGAATACACTGACCAGGCCAGAGCATTGGCCCCACTCCAGGCAACAAGAAGGCCTTAAATGAGGAAGGGTTCACTTTCTGGAACAGACCTCCTCGAAGGGCCACTATGGTTGATGATGCCACCAGAGACCATGTTGGCATCTGTGGCCCATGCTGCTGCCCCAGGCCACAAAGAAGTCTGTTCCTTTAAACTCCAAGATCAAGGACCCTTGCAAAGTAGCTATGAACACAGGCGTTTTTGCAGGAGAAAATGTTTATGGGATAAATAACATGATTAATTTTGGTTGAAAATCTATTTTATTAGACATTAGAATGGCTACTCCTGCTTGCTTCTTGGGTCCATTTGCTTGGAAAACCGTCTTCTAGCCCTTTACTGTCAGACAATGTCTATCTTTGTGACTTAGGTGTGTTTCTTGTATGCAACAGATTTGGGGTCTTGTTTATGCATCCATTCTGTTAGTCTGTGTCTTTTTATTGGAGAATTGAGTCCATGCTGAGACTTATGGCCAACTGTTGGGCAGAATGCAGGGAATCTTTAAAAGAAGTGGGAAGTAGTAAGATCTGGAGAGGACAGGAATTCCACAAGGAAAGCAACAGAACCAAAAAATCTGGGCACAGGGGTCTTTTCTGAGACTGATACGCCAACCAAGTACCATGCATGGAGATAACCTAGAACCCTGCACAGATGTAGCCCATGGCAGTTCAGTGTCCAAGTGGGTTCCATAGTAATAGGAATAAGGACTGTCTCTGACATGAACTGATTGGCCTGCTCTTCAATCACCTCCCCCTGAGGGGGAAGCAGCATTACCAGGCCACAGAAGAAGACAATGCAGCCACTCCTGATAAGACATAATTGACTAGGATCAGAAGGAAGGAAAAGTGGACTTGGGGAGGGGCATGCGTGCAGAAGGGGGAAGAAAGGAGGGATTGGGAGGGAAGGAAGGAGGGAAACACAGGGGGATACAAAGTGAATAAAGTGTAATTAATAAAGAATTTAAAACATAAAAAGAAAAATAAATAAATAAATAAATAACATGAGCACATAAGGCTTTTGATGATGCAGTTCCATCAGTACCACCAGCGGACAGGACAAAGCACTGTATCGTTTCACAATTTTAGCATTAGATCGGTGATTTTTGGTCTTACATAAATAGATATTAAAGTTGCATTTTTTATGTTCTGAAGACTCTAATCCCATGTAGACATGAATGAAGCATATGGGTAAAAACAGAGATTTCCAAATTGAGAATCCTTGAAAATTAGCGACCCTCTTGTAGCCTTCTGCCTCTCCATAAAAGTAATCTGCCAGATCTCTAGCTTAAAAACAAACACTATACTTAAGTAATTTAAGTATTAAGTGACATTCTTTTATAACTTCCCATGGACTTCAATTATTTTAACAAGTACTACTGGCCTCTCTTTATGAAATGCTTCCTTATTCCATACTGTGGAACTTTCACTCTCCTCCAGCTTGGAATAGCTCTTTATGAGAACAGGCTAATGAAAGCTGAATGATACAGGGATATCAGAGTCAAATGTATCAAACTGAGTGAGAAACCCAGAAACTTACACAAACCCCCCCAGAATCCAGTATAATTGCAGCAGTAGACAGAGGGAGCAAGAGAAAAGTTTCATTTCCTGGTAAGGATCCTGGGAAATGGTAACTGTCATCTGATGTTGGTGGAAGGTAAGCACTACAGAAATCAGGATGGAGGTTCCTCAAAACCCTGAAATGGAACTGTCATATATTCACTCTTGGCTATGTAGCAGGATGGCTTTAGGCCAGCACACCACACCAGTGATTTATGCATCCATGGTGATGTCTGCACTATTAACAACATGGGAAATAGAACCAGCCTAGATGTCCATCAACAGCTGAATGGAAAAACAAAACAAAACAACAACAACAAAAAAAAAAAAAAACAAACAAACAGTTCTATACACAATGGAATTTTATGCAGCCTATAAAATGAAATCATGACCTCTCTGGGAAAATGGATGCAACTAAAAAGCATTATGTTTAGTGAAACAAGCCATGTTCAAACAGTAAAAAAAAAAAAAAAAAAAAAAAAAAAAAGCTGTTTTTCTGAAATATGCAGAACCTAGACTTAAAACTGTGTGTTTATTTATAAGGCATGGGACTGGAGAGATCATGAGGTAGGGGAAAAACACTTTAATGGAGGAAGGCAACAGACAGTAGAGGAATACACATGGTGAGAAAGCAAAGCGGAGAACTGAATAGGGGTGGGGAACCTTTCAGAAGACTGGAGGGGCACAAAGGAAATCAATGAAGGAGGAGAATGAATGAGATTACCGTATAAAAAATACATGCTAAGAAGCCCATGTATGTTAAAGGGGGAGGGGTAAGGAAGGAAGGAGAGTGAGAGAGAAGAAAATTTAGGAAAGGAAAATTGTCTATCAAGACTATGGTTACCTGAGCATTTACATGGCCGTTCAGTACACCTGGTTTCAAGCACAAACACACAAATGATTTTATATAACTTTCTCTTTAAAAGCTGAATACCTTTAAAACTCATTGTTTCCAAACAACAACAACAAAAAAAGGTAAAATAACTGTATAAAATCTTGGCAACTGCCATTCCTCCTAACAGGATAGCTTACCAAACCCAAAGGCACTGGAGCCTCCAACGCTCTGCGAAGACTGGACGCTTGTGGAGGTGTACAGTCCTGTCACCAGCAGGCCGTCAAAGAAGGTGCTTGTGGAGATTGTCACTGAAAGACGGGAGGAGAAAAGAGACTGAGTTAATGTGGTGAGAGAGACCAGGCACACTCTGCAGTATTAGGTGTAATCATTAACCAATTAACCAGTTATGTTTTTGCCCTATTTTAGTGTGCATGTGGGAATATGCGTGTGTGTGTGTGTGTGTGTGTGTGCGCGCACACACACACACACACACAAAACTGCAGAGGAAACAAAAACCTCAGCACTTTAGTGCTTATAATTTTATTATTGCTGGTACTAAATTTAACGCACAGCCCTACCCTTTTGCATTTATTTACATATTTCCTAGCCACACTAAAAAATCTGAAAATAATGTACCGCTGAATAGATGGTTTCCCCCACCTCCACGCCCACCTCTGGAGTCATCAGAGCATGGCTGCAGTTTCTGGCATTATGATAAAACACATTTTAAAAACATTCCATACTTGGGGAAATAATCTCGAGTCAGCTGAGTGAAGAGCAGAGGGATGCGGGATGCGGGATGCGCTGTGAATGCTTGTCCTGAGCCTACACTTCATAGATGGGCTCCCTGCCGTTTCTCAACCCAGCACGCCAGCCTGCTACTCTTGCGGACGAGAAGGGGGGCCAGTGCATGCTTTCTGTTTCAGAACGAAGTCTGCAAGAGGAGTCCGCTTGGCTTCACGATCACAATGCTGAATGTTCTCAATCAGTATGTCTCGGTCCCCACCTTAAAAACAGATCGTGATTTGCTCCTTGCTGTGATGGTGCTTTTTTTTGCCCAGCTCTGAAGAGCTAAAGATGCCATTTGGAGAAGGCAGCAGAGGAAGGTAATGATATTATTTTGGAAGTGCACAGATCAAGGCTGTCACCCTGCCTGATGGCAATAAGGACAATAGTCAGTCACATTAACTCTGATGAGATGGTTTAAATGAAACTCCAGGACATCCAGTGAGTAGAAATAAATGGTCTGAAACATTCTTATCACACAGCATCAAACAAGACACGTGTCTAATAAAACAGCTTCACATCATGCCATCTCCCAAATAGCACTGGGTGTTCGAACACATCGCCTTTCCATCTCCTAATAAAAAATAATAGTACATTTCAGTGCTGGAATGTAAATCACTCATTGGGCTCTGAGCTCAGCTATCTATATGCATCTCATTTAACTGTCAAAGCTTGAGTGTGAGGGGAGCACTTTTATTATCCCTGCATAAAAATGAGCAATATAGGGAACGGAACCAAGTGCTATCAACTGTTTCTGGTTCATATTCTGCTTTTCCTTCTATCACTATGACAGGACACCCTGACAAGGAGGAACACTAGGAACGCAAGAGTACATGTGGCTTTCAACTCCCTGTTGCAGCCCACCATTTTCAGTTAGGCAAAGCAGAGACTCAAGTAGGTAGTGACCTCCCATCTGCAGTCAGGCACAAAGAGAGAAACAAACGCACCTGTGTCACCTACCCATCTACGCCTACGCTCAGCTAGCTTCCTTTAATCTTGCACAACTCAGGACACCACACATAGTGTGTGTGTGTGTGTGTGTGTGTGTGTGTGTGTGTGTGTGTGTGTCTGTGTGGTGTCCACACAGTGGATAAGTAACTATCAAGACAACCCCCGGAGACATGCCCACAGGCCAGCTTGACCGAAATAATTGAGATTTTCATGTGATTTAGGTTGAGAGTTGGAATTAACACATGTTGTTTATTTGGTTTCTCTCTCTTTGTTTTTGTTTTTTTTTTCTATTCCCCTCAGATGCCGAAGTAACATACTGGACAGTATCTTATAGTTCTTTTACCAGGGTGTTGAGGAAGACAATTAAGGAAAAAAGATCAGCCAATAACAGTGTTACCAGTGGGAGAGGAAAAGGCTGGTTGATGCCCCCTGGGCAAAGATAGGTAACAGACAAGGTCTGGGAATCCAGTCCTCCTCTGTCAAGGGACCTGCAAGGGCTTAGGAGACCTGCTTCATCTCTGAGTTTGAACTCCTTGTCTGCAGAACCAATATCCCAATCCCTGAGGTCTCTTACCCCACTTCCCCATAGAGCTGAGATGATAGGCCTGACTATCTCGACTAAGATTAATGCGTTTCCCCATTGCTTCTGTGTCCCTTGCTTTATGAGGTCGGGCGGGGGGGGGGGAGTTCCTTCCTGTTAAGATGCCCTTATTCACCATCAGATTTTAACGTGTCTGTGTCTTAAGTTATCCTCACAGCAAGAGACACCTAACCTGCAGTGTCTCCTGGGACTCTTGTGTGTCTACTTGCCCTCACTCCTCACCACTGCAATCAGTCAACAGGAGTAGGTGTGTCTAATGCGCACCGCCTGGCTGCTGTGGGCTCTTCTGTACTCCCTTATACTTCAGCTCTGGTTCCCAAAGCCAAGAAGCTGAAACTGTGAGGGTGTCTGCTACTGGAGGCAAACCTAAATTTGAGCTTCAGAACTCTCCACACTGACCAGTAAGCAATGGGAGTGGAGGGTTCTTATAGTCCTCATTTATGAAAGGGAAGACACTGTGAAGACACCAGAAGACTTAGAGGACACTGTATCTATTATGGAGCTCTGTCTTCTGAACACAATTCCATGAAGCGGTAAATAATCATATCAGTTCTCTCCTTTCCCTCCCTCTTTCTTACTGAGAACAGAATCCTGTACAGAGTTCCTGGGCACCTGCCTTTCCAGAAGCAAATGCACATCTAGTTCCTGGACAGTCCACATCAAAGCGCAAGGACCTTCTATCTCCCCGGCACCCATACAGCTACTCCATCTCTGAATTCTCCCGCTGAGTCAGAACTGTGAGCAAGTGAACTCAAGACCAAGTATCTGCCCTCCCTCCAGAAGACTTTCAGTACCCATTCAACGCCCGTGAAAACACTCTTGGAGAAAGGCTAAGTACTGAGTACGAGAACCACGGGTGACAGGTCTATTGTCCTCAGAAACTCAGCACTGGTCCCAAATAGGTGTGCCCATCCAGTAAAACAAAAGCTCCCCGCCCCCCCCCATGATGACAAGTGATGAATCTGATTCATCGGCAGCTTCGCACATTGCATAGTTCTTTACAGCCTGAGAGCACTGCATCTTTGAACTCCCTGGCAAGTTTGTGATTCATTTGGGGGCTGAGGCTGAGGTCTGCCAGCCCCTTCTGATTGCCATCAAGGTCATTTAACCCCTGTGCCAGATACCCCTCTCACCAGACTATGCAGTACCTATCTTGCATATTCTGGTATTTAAATCCACCACACATTAGAAGGCCCCTTTGAATTCAGTTCTTCACTTTGCTCAGATCTCAGGTCCTGAGGCAGCAAGGTGCATTGAAGACAGGTCTGACGTAAGGAGGCTAGTTCTATTTCAAGTATGAATGCCGATTTACCCTATCGGATCGGGTGAGCGTTTCTGTTTGGTCGTGTTTTCCTGGTAGAGATGTGACTAGCTATGAAGAGCGGAGAAGGGCCCGAGTGAATGAAGCCTTAACTGAATGTGTGCTGTTCACATAAGTAAGGCCTTATCAAGGACCCAGGGGAAAAGCGTTCCTCAGGTGCGGCTCGGAGGGATGACGGCCTTCCTCCAGGGATCAGGAGCAGATGGTGACACTGCGAGTAGAAAGTGGCCCCCATCACTCTCCCGCAGGACATTTACAGCCTGAAGATGCCTCCTTACAAACTGTGCCTAGTTGGGTTAGCTAAACCTGTCTCCTCGATCCAGCTCTATGCCATAAACCCTGCCCTCCTTGGTTCTCTGTATGTAACTACCCCACCTCCGTGTGCAGCTGCATGAAATACTCTTGTAATAAATACGCCGAGTCCCCAGGATGCTGTAGCTTCTCCATCTTCCCCACTATCTTTTTCTTCATTCCCTTGCCAACCCAGTCAGGTCCAAGTCCCCATCCATGCCGGGATATGGCAGGTACCCATTATTTGGCACTGCTAGGAGTATTTAACCGTGAGAAATAATTTCTCAACACCGAGTGAATGAAATGGAGTTGTTGAGAACTACTCTTGTAAGGGAGCCTGGGTCCCACAGCGTTAAATACCATCTAGAAACTGATGCCTGCCAAATTGCACTTTCCACTTCAGGCCTCTTTCCCAACTCTAAATACACCACAAGCTGCTGCCCGGCACCTCACTTGAATATCTAGGAAGCATCTCAAGAGCTTGCTCTCCATGTAACCAACACTCAACACCTACCTCCCCCAAAAGCCCAGTTGTTGGCTACACCAGCCTTCTGGTTATTCAGACCTAAAACATTCAGCCACCTCTGAAATCATGTTCCTTCCACACCCCATTCACATAGTCCACCAACCAATCCTGCCAGCTCCGTTTTAGATGTATTTCAAATTTAGCTACATATCTTGTTGCTTTGAGTAACCATTGTCTCTCCAGAGATTGTTTCACTGTGGCATTAACCTTCCCGAAACTGGAGGGCCAACTCTCATACCCCTTCAACTCGAATGTCACGCTATCAATGAAGGCTGTTTGGACTGTACTATATGAAACTGCAGACAACCCCGCCCACCTCCCCCACAGTCCCAGACTCCCCTAGTTGAGTCTACCTTTCTCCTCTTTTTTTTCCTATAATTATTCCCATGGAACAAAGTGTATTGATGTATCTACTCAGAGTATTTTAATTACATTTATTGTAAGTCTTGTTCTGTAGAACAATGTTTCCATCAAAGCAAATACATCTGGTGTTTTGTTTAGTAAAATATCTTGTGTCTAGATAAAGTCATGACACTTTTAAGTGCTCAATAAATATTTAGTGAATGACTAGTGAACAACTCATTCACAAAATAATAATGTGGGGTTGTCTCCTCTTCAGCTTATTTCCTGAGAACTGTGTTATAAATTCTATGTTTCAGGATTTACGTCAGCTGAATCCCATTTGGAAAATACACATAGAAAAAAAGAGAGAGAGAGAGAGAGAGAAAGAGAAAGGCTGGTTCTTTAAATATGTAAAATGTTTTCCAGAATACAAGACAGAGCAATTCATAGAGAAGCTAACCAAAAACATTTGCAAAATAAAAAAGCAGGT